GGTCCCTGGTTAGTATCTGTTCATAATGTCAGCTATTTAACCTTGAACATACATTACAGTTTTTATATCGTACTTTGCATATTTTGAAAATAGAATTTGTGTGTTCTTCTGAGGAAACATATTTATACTATTTAATTTAAATTTCCATTCCAAAATATCAGCAATTTGTAGTCTAGATTGAATAAATAACTGTATGAGAGACGTTATGAAGAACACTAGTTTCCCTCGTGTTTGGGGATTTTGTAGATTTTATCTCTAATTTACTACTTATTTGAAAATTCTTACTTTTCCACATTATCAGTGCAAAAGAAAGTATCGACTGCGCGAAATAGTATAGTTGTACAACAGTATATTTGAACTTGTTCCCAGCAAATCTGAACCCTCTGAGAACGAATCCGCTCCAGGCAACTTCTCGATCCACGTTTCGTTTCTGTGCGGGAGGAAACCGTCGGCAGATCAGGGTTGTTCTCCAATTCAGGTCCTTCTGGCCATCAATGGATCAATCGATCTTTTGTGGGTGGTTTAATTATTTATTAGATAGAGAGAGCATTCCACTATTTCTCAAAACAATATCGACTCTGACAATCAGCAAAGCTTTGGTGACAAGCCCGCCAGCGAGGAAGTACTGCGCTACTCAAATAGGATCAAACAAATTACGATCAAAATTTTATTACCATACATAGGTTGTATCACAAAATTATTTGATTTTTAGAACTTATGGTTAATGAAAGATCTTGAACCTGAAAGGGGTCCTTTGAGTACTAAGAATGTTTTCCACGACTGTCTCGGGAGAATATCTGAGTGTTGCTTGCGAACTTCAGACGGACGTTTGTACACGTCAAGTGATATTAGACACTGCTCAAGTGATGACTTGCTTTTAAGATGCTCACATGAAACTTATACTCGTACTAATATAATAGGCAGTACCTCAGAATAATTTCAGAATTCTAGATTGACGTTCACAAAATACACGATTGTAGTTCATTAAAAAACAAATTGTTTAGTAGACAAAATGATTGGAAAAAAGAGTAAAGAGAAAAATTAATTTCAGATGAGATTTGTATATACAAATAATAATATTACTAATACTAATAATAAGATTTATTGCATAAACACCATATATTTATACATGTTAACATACGCACATAGTAAAAAAATCCTGTGATATAGAGGTGCATTAGTCACAGTAATTTCTTATAAAAACCATTTTTAGAAAGGCGGAACCTTTGGCAATTAAACTTTTAGTACATATCTTTCAATCTCTGTGTCATATAATGGTGATTAGACCCCACAAAAGCGGCATTAATAGTACATTATGAAACAATGATTTAATGGCTGGTATTAATACACGAGCGTGGTATTACTATATGAGCGAGTATGGCAAACTTCACACGAGCGTAATAATACCCATTACATTGAGTTTCATACGGTACCTTTTCTACGACTTATGGTAACTTTTATAAGTTAAACCTGTACATGGAATCGTTACGTTGCGGTTGACATGGCGGGTTCAGCCAAGGCCACCTTGCGGACAGCTCCCTATTCATCTGCCAGCGAGGAAGTACTGCGCTAGTGGAATAGGATCAAACAAATTACCATCCAAATTAGTATAAATAATATTTCACGTGAAAAATAACTACTAATAAAATAAATTAACTGACAATCATAATATAATATTAAATACAATTTTAATGTGCGCAATCGAAGGATTCTCAATGATTAATTAATTCTGAATACTTCGTAAATTTCTCTGTGATCGGTCAAGAACCTGTATCATAATGAAATGTGTATCGTAATGAGTCAGCACTAGCACTGGCCGCATCCCGAAGCAGGGCCGTGCGTTGGCAGGTGGCCGCCGCCGGCCTCTTCGTGGCGCTGATGCTGCTCAACGTCGCGGAGGCCAAGAGCCGCCGCGCCGCCCTCGCGCTCAACCACGCGGCGCTGGGCTGTGTGATGGGGGTCTTGGTTGCCGACGTCGTCAAGATGAGCTTCGGCCTGGACCTCGCGTCGCTGCCGCCCGCGCTGCCCTAGCCCTGCGACTCCGTACATACTGCACAGAAAACAGGATCTAAATCCTTTTAACGACCCATGCCAGATAACGCAAATAACATGATTAATGTTCCTTCAGCATCCCGATTAGATGAAAGTAACAGACAATGAAACACACACTTTTTCATACTACGTTGAATGAAATATCCGTTTCAAGGAAGACACGAAACATCGATCTTTACCTAAGGTATCGCTTTTCTTGCATTTCCACTGCTCCTTTCTTGGCATGTGATCTTCCAACATACTTAAACCCATTTATCTTCACTAGTGGCACTTTCAATAAAATATTCAATTGCTGCTCCTTGCGTTGTCTCAGCATTTGCAGCACCTTTAAGATAAGAACTCGCGCCTCTACAGTAACGTGTGACTGCCAACATGTTCCAGTAGCCCCTCTGTTAAGCCTCTCCAACTCTCGAACACCATGCCTTAAGAGTTTGAAAAGCTGTGTTATTACTAGCGAATCTACTAGGAAATTAGTTCACATTCTTCACGCTTTTAAATAGACACATTCAGTAGTTTCAACACACTTTCTTTGAATAGTATGCTCTATTTTTCCATTTCCACCGCTCTCCAAAATGTGTAAAACTGAAGACAAGAACATGTTTTAGAAGGATCAGAGACGCGAAGGCCCTTTTCGAAGTAACGCCATGTTGGGCACCCCGTTCGCCGAGAGAGATCGCCACTATTTCTCAAAACAATATGATCTGACAATCCGACAAAGCTTGTGACAAGCGACAGCAGGAAGTAACTGCGCTACTCAAATAGGATCAAACAATTACGATAAATTTTATTAATACATAGTTGTATCACAAATTATTTGATTTTTAGAACTTATGGTTAAGAAGATCTTGAACATGAAAGGGGTCTTTGAGTACTAAGAATGTTTTCCACGACTGTTCGGGAGATATCTGAAGTGTTGCTTGCGAACTTCAGACGGCGAGTTAAGCCTGTACAGAAGCGTGCAAAGTGATTGACACGCGTGCAAAGAGATGATGACTTGCTTATTAAGATGCTCAATGAAATTATAACTCGTACTAATATAATAGCAGTACTCAGAATAATTTTCAGAATTCTAGATTGACGTTCACAAAATACACGATTGTAGTTCTAAAACAAATTGTTTAGTAAGACACAAAATGATTGGAAAAAGAGTAAAGAGAAAAAATTTAATTTCGGAATGAGATTTGTATATACAAATAATATTTACTAATACTAAATAAGATTTATTGCATAAACACATAATTTATACATGTTACATACGCACATAGTAAAAAAAATCCTGTGATATAGGGTCATTAGTCAGTAATATTCTTATAAAAACATTTTTAGAAAGGCGGAACCTTTGGCAATTAATACTTTTAGTAATATCTTTCAATCTCTGGTCATATAATGGTGATAGACCACAAACGGCATTCTAGTAATTATGAACAATGTATTTAATGGCTGGTATTAAATCCGAGCGTGGTATTAACTAATATGAGTCGAGTATGCAACTTCCCACGAGCGTAATAATACCATTACAGAGTTTCATACGGTACTTTTCAACGACTTATGGTACTTTTATTAAGTTAAACCTGTACATGGAATCGTTACGGTGCGGTTGACATGGCGGGTTCAGCAGGCCACTTTGCGGACAGTCCTATTATGCTGCAGGAGGACGCTCACTCCGTAACATAGAGAGTAGGGGGAGCCGCAAGAGTGGCGCTATAGATAGAGAGAGAAATAGGAGTAAACAAGATACCTCAGTCCAAGATATTGAAAGTGGTATTGTCACGTGAAAAATGACTAGAATAGAGTTGAACTGCAACGATTAATATGGTGCTGATTGCGATTAGATAGGATACATGGTAATAGTTGTGTGATTCTAGTCGATTAATCTGAATACTTCGTAAATTTTCCTGTGATTTCGGTCAAGAACCTGTATCATAATGAATGGTATCGGTAATGAGTCAGGCACTAGCACGGCCCGCATCCCGAGAGAAGGGCGTGCGTTGGCAGGTGGCCGCCGCGGCCCTCTTCGTGGCTGATGCTGCTCAATCGTCGCGGAGGCCAAGAGCCGCCGCGCCGCCGTCGCGCTCACACCGCGGCGCTGGGCGTGTTGGATGGGGTCCTTGGTTGGCCGAGTCGTCAAGATGACTGGCCTGGACCTCGCGTCGCTGCCCCGGCCGCGCTGCCTAGCCCTGGATCCGTACATACTGCACAGAAAAAGGATCTAAATCCTTTTTAAGACCATGCCCAGAAATAACGCAAATAACATGATTAAGTTCCTTCAGCATCCGATTAGATGAAAGTAACAGACAATGAACACACAACTTTTTCATACTACGGTTGAATGAATGTCGTTTTCAAGGGAAGAGAACTTCGATACTTCCTAAGGTATCGTTTCTTGCATTTCCCACTGCTCTCTTTCTTGTGTAGATCTATCCTACATACTTTAAACACCATTTAATGTTGCCAACTATAGTGGCACTTTCAATAAAATAATTCAATTGCTGGCTTCGCCGTGCGCTATGTTTGACCTAGAAGACATCTCTGCCAGCTAGTTATAAGAATCACGAACTCGCCAGACTCTCTACAGTTATAACGAGGTACTGTCACGAGTGTTACCGATATTAGACGCGGCTCTCTCGCTCTCACAGCGGATTGCGCGACACTTCATCGAACACCAGATACCGAGAGATTGAAAGCTGTGTTATTACTAGCGAATCTACTAGGGTTGAATTATGTTGTACTTCTCTGTTTAAAAGAAGTGTCACATTTCAGGGGGATCCTATATAGTCAAAACACACTTTCTTGGAATATGAGCGTCCATTGTCCAAGCCGAGGACTCATCCAATAGGATAGGCGAGATCGTCTAGGGAAACGACGCACGCACAACAGAACGAGTGTATTCTAGTATGATATTGAGAGACGGGCTGCGAAAGCACAAGTGGTGTTTCGCGAAGTAACGCATGTTGGGATGTTGTGTGGCTCCACCCCAGGTTCGAACTGCTCACGCAGGCGCCCGGCGAGGGCGAAGCAGCAGCGCGA